CCACAACATTACCGAACCAAATTACATAGCGCTCATATGCTACACATGAGGCATTTGTAATTATTCCACCATGTCTTTAGCCTTTCCTTGACGGTGAATATAATTAGCGTAATTTAAAGCTGATCATCACTGTCAGTATCCTTCCTAAGTCATATTTCAACTACCTAAAAATGGTAGGAGGGGGACAACGGGTTCTCAAGACGATTTACAGATGAGTCAGAGGCTCTGACAGGTTCAACTATGCTGTGAAATCCTGAGAAATAAACTTGGTCAAGTGGAAGAAAACACACACTCACAAACCTGGGAGGAGTTATGGCCAAATCTTACAAGATGAAATCATAACTAAGATTATGGCAGTCATTCTCCGAGGCTGGATTACTGCCAGCGAAAGCAGCAGCTGGTCAGGCATGAAGGCAGAGGGTGGTAAGTATATCCGGGTTACAGGCCAAAGTTACAATATACCTATGTTATTATCCAGACAAATAATCCGTCCATACCGGTACAGATTGAAACTAATTTGCTGCACTGTTCAAGCTGGTGATACCGCAGTTTTAGATTATTAGGAGGCTTACCAATATACCAAAGTCTCCGCACTGCCGCTTTCATGTCTAGGTTTACACCGTGAATTTGGTGTAGACTGCAGCTTAGGGAGTAAGGCAATGAAACCACAGATTACCACCCTGGATTGAAAAACAAATTAGTTACAGTTCACAACCGGCACTGACTTGAAGGTACAGTATATCGTATCACCCCTTTGCTTCTAGTTATTAAGGAGGAACGGCATTTAAGCAGCCCATTACTCCCTAAAATCTGAGGTGACTGATGCTCTTGCATCATTTAGCGGTTACAGCCACTTCGTGATCTCACGAACGACGTTTTAGGAGCTGGAACTCATTATATGCCACCACATAAACATTAATGTATGCTGGTATGCCAGAGTGATAATGCGTGATGCTCCTGTCATTGCAGGCAGATGCTCCAATACCATGGACCCGTGGCCTGCATAAATGGCCCCTTAGGCAAATAGGGAGCAAGGAAGCGGTACTACGCGCCGAGAAATCTCGTATTTGAAGAGTTATGTACTACCTATTTGTTATTATGCCATAACTATGAAAAGACCGCAATTTCCAGCTCAATTAAATTTTGGTTATACTAACCGTGGAAAAAACAACACGCGTTTATTAGAAAGCGAAACTTTCCAACACATTTGTTCGCAAGTGTGTAATGTCGAACTGTCAACAGTCAACAAAACTTATATCGCGTCGCGTAACGCAAACAAGATAAAATCTGAAATCGACACTTACCGTCAAAGAGAGAGACAAAATAGACCGGAACCTGCCTATCATAATCGATATAAAGTCGCTCTGGGGAACGTACGCAAACCCGTCCTTGACGAATACCTTCCGCGCAGCCACCAAATCGAGAACTTCTGTGAAAAACACCTGAAATTAAAAATAGTTGTAAACTGTGCGCAACGCATAAGCAACAAAAGAATTATCATTGCAGTGGTAGATCTGCAGTTCAAGAAAAATATTTCGCTTACTACAGCAGATATTGCGCCATAACTATGGAATGAAGTATCAGCTGAAAAACTAAAAACCAAGAAAGAAGCATTTAAAACGTCACTCAAGGAAGGGTTGCAGCTCTCAGGAACAAACGCAGTCAGTCTCTGAATCAAAAATAAAGAGTTCCAAAGAAGTAACTTAGTTGCGCACTAGAACTTTAATGATCAAGTTACATTAAGTTCTACTTTTCAGAAACTGAGTTTCGGTGTCTACCACATGAACAACAGGCAACAACTAAATTAAGAGATAATCCCTTTGTTACGGCGACAAGTATTCAATTAAGAAACTGCGATAGTTACGGCGGCATGAAACAAACTCTGTAAATACCGGCAGTGGAAACCAACAAGTGACAGTTTTCACTAATTCTTCAAGCATAACTATCCAGGACAAGAAAATTCTGACCACAAAACTGGATGAACAATCAAGATTAACCCTAGGACGATTCATGAAATTAAGCGGAAGCGAAGGAAAGGTATACAACTGAGCGTCTTTAATGCGATCAGCGTTTCACAAATGGGAAAAGATGGCCAAAAATACTCAACGCCATCTTCGATCAGAGGAAGATACTTACTGCATTGTATTTGATAGACTTTGCCATATTTGACCTAATGAATGTTATTTTTGCTGCAATCGTCATTCAAAGTTAACCATGCTTAGATGATAGAACCTGCGATGTTTCATTGTTTGACATAGTGCCTCAGACAACGTTCAACATCTGACAACGTTCGCCGCTGCGACAAAATCATGTTCCTCACTCAAAGCAAGTGTTTGAACTAGGTGTTTTTTACGCTTCCGTTTCACGTGGTCTTTCATCGCGTTTGTGGTTACCGGACAGTTTCCGGGAAAAGATACTTATTAACAGATTTCCAACGTCATTTTGAACTGTCTGATCAAACCAAGCCAGGTGCTGATCCCAGGCTATCATCTGTCAGTTTAGTTAAACCGGCAGTTGTCTGCCGCTGTCAAGAAGAGCCTAAAGTCGTTTCAGGCCACCGGATATTTTCAGATTGTAAATCAGCGCCCCGAATACAGCTACTTTCGTAGCTGGTATTATAGTCTCATCGCTGATACCACTTCAACACGTCGGTTCGAAAGATAAATTTCGTCATAATAAGCAAAGACTGTTCAAAAGTACTTGTATAGCATAACCTCCTTCATCGCCATTACATTCCAAACAGTCACAAGAAACGACACTTCTACGCTTCTTGCCAGAATTTCACTTTTCTTTCCTACGCAATGACGACATGGTGGCAAATTTTTAGGCCAGGCACGGTTTCTGACATTCCAAAAAGTGTAGCGTGACTCAGACACTTTCATTCCTCTCGTGGCTAATTTTAATTACGGATATTTGGGCATCTTCGGTTCGTTTCAACATGAGTCACTGGCTTCCTTAGTTTAAAAGGAAAAACTGCAAAAGAAAAATTTTGCTTTTCGATTTTGAAGTCAGAGCAACCGCAGGAAGACTCGCCTGTAGAACAGCAGTGAACGGATGTTACTAATTCCATAGATGAAACTAGATAAGTTGTGAAAAGCTTTAAAAGCGGAAAGACTGCTGAAAATGATGAAATCCGCCCGGAAATGCTCGAGATATTAAGCGAACACGGCATGTGGTGGCTTATACGTGCCTGTCAAACTGCAAAGACTACGGGGAAGACACCAGCGGACTGGGGAACGGAAGCTGTAGTATCCCAATTCAAGAAGGGAGATCACAACGAATGCTCCAATTATAGGAGCATTACGTTATTGAGCCTCCCAGGTAAAGTC